TTTACGTTGCCAAAGAAACCCGCTTTTTTGTCTTCACCTTCGTCCTTTCCTAACATAATCGAGTATGTGTAAGTTCCTGGCAAAGTTTCATTGATTAACTCTTGTATCTTGCCCATGCTGTCTGGGTTACAGCAGGAGTCACCCATTCCATGCCAAAGAACGACCGGACGATAATTTGCTATTGAAGTACGAAAGATAAATAAAAAGGGGATTACATCGGATTCATCAAAAAGACCATTTGATACCTTTCGCATAATGTGCAAGTACAGATAGGATTATTATGAAGTACGCGTAACTAATCATTTTGAAGGGGCAAGTTTGCTAACCAGATAAAAACCCTGATCCAAATTTATGCTAATAGTAATAATAATGGAGGGATTTGCAGAACATTCCGTGATAAGCTGTCATTTACAGGTAATTTTTTTTTTCAACAAGTTTTTAATTAAGCACAATGTCTTCTTTTTTTGGACATTCTTATCCACTAATGGGAATGTTTATCATAAATCATATTACTTTGCAAACCTTTCTTACATATAGATAATGTTTGTTTGATTTATTTTAATTTTTGATCATAACATTAAAAAAATAAGAAATACTTTTTTTGTATGATTGGTTTCTCATCGCCGGTACCTCGTATTGATAATTTCTTTAAATAAAATCATCATTACTCGTTCGTTACGTTTGTCGCGCGTATTGTGACGTTTTTGGATTACGCCACGTCGATTGGTTTCCACCATTTATTAAATAAAACACCATCAAGGAATGTTACTTACTTTAAATTGAATTAGTTTACGAAAAACAAAGTTACACGCGTGACCTTGTGTTACAAATACTCAGTACGCAGATATCCGAGGTATTATAAGAAATATAGTGTATCCATATATGGGGTCCGTCAAGCAGAGAATTCAACCATTTTTTCGTACGTACGTTATTGTACGTTAAATCAATGTTTTTTTTTGGTTTAAACATCCATTAAATAGTGTAACCAGATGACGGGCGGACTAACAGACATATATAGCTCTGGAGCTCATAAGAAGTTTTAGACTCCAGAGAAGTAGACTTGCACTCCTTCGTATATTGAATATGACAAGAATTATTAGACAAGATTCTTCAGGGAGTTCCGAAAAAACAGATGCTACCTTTAGCTCTAGTGTTTCAAACGATTCGTCTGTCACTATGGTGCTCGATTCGAATGACACACTCAGGTTTAGTAACAAGTGGATAAAGGATTCTTCAGATCGCACAATCCTCTTTCGCGGTATAAATTTGTCGGGTGCCTCTAAAAATCCTGCTAGCCCTCCAATACCTTCTCATCAACTTGAAGGTTTTTTCGATCACCGTAACGTCAACTTTATTGGCAGACCTTTTCATTTGAACGAAGCTGACCAACATTTTGCTCGTCTGAAACATTGGGGTTTTAACTTTTTGAGATTTATTGTGACTTGGGAGGCACTCGAACACTCAGGACCGTAAGTGTCCACTCACAAGTTGCTTCTAAATTCTAATGGGAATTCATGAATAGTTATGAAAAACGGTTAGCCTTCCCTGGATCATTCCATGCGTTTCGTATAACGCGAACTTAACTTTTGTTATTGTTTTTCATCTTTTCATTTTTCCAGTGGTATTTATGATATGGAATTCATAGATTTCATCATAAAGGTTCTGATCAAAGCCAGAGAATATGGTTTCAGGTGTTTCATCGATCCACACCAGGACGTGGTAAGACACTCTTCGTCTCCCGTTTGCATTTCCGACCGTAGTTGATTTGCTCACCGAATCTAATCTTCTACTTCACGTTATTTGCCATCTAACAGTGGTCAAGATTTTCCGGCGGTTCAGGCGCACCAGGATGGACATTAGACCTCGTAGGTTTTAATATGAGAAATTTTGCTGCTACCGACGCCGCGATTGTTCATAATACGTATAAAGACTTGGAAAATTTTCCAAAGATGGTTTGGTCAACTAATTATTATAAGCTTGTATCTGCTACGATGTTTACTTTATTCTACTCGGGCAGTTTATATGCCAAGAAATGCATTGTGGATGGTGTTAATATACAAGAATATCTACAATCACATTTTTGTAACGCATATAAAGTGTTGGCGGAAAAAATATGTGAGGCTCAACTTCACGACTCGACGGTGATCGGATTTGATACAATAAATGAACCAAGTTGGGGCTTAGTGGGTACCAAGGACCTTAGCAAAATTCCCGAATTCCAGGAATACCGAAGAGGAAGGATTCCCACACCTTTTCAGGCCATGCTTTTAGGAGAAGGAGTACCTTGCACTTTGGAAGTGTGGGACATCGTTTGGTATGGATTTGGCGTTGTCGGTAAGGAAAGAATTGATCCCATGGGTAAGACAGCTTGGCTCGAGGAAGATCCCGAAGGATATTCGTGGGAAAAAGGTTCGGAATTTCCGAGAGGATGCATATGGGCCGGCCATGGGGTTTGGGACAAAGAGACCAAGAAACTGTTGCGCCCGGATTACTTTGCCACAAATCCAAATACCGGAAAGGAACCTGATTGGAATCAAGAATGCCTGAAGCCGTTCATCGAAAGATATGCTCGTACCATCCGTTCAGTTTTCCCCAACGCTATCATATTTGTTCAACCACCTGTATTGGAAAAACCTCCCAGCTTCGATAAGTTAGATGAGCTAAATGAGCGTATTATTTATTCACCTCATTGGTATGATGGGATGACGTTAGTACAAAAAAAATTCAATTGGTGGACCATCGATTTTCTAGGAATCAAACGCGGAAAATACAAAGGAGTTGTTCAGGCGTTCAAAATTGGAGATCGAGCTATTAAGAGAAGCTTTGTTGAGCAACTCAAATTAATCAAAGAAGAAGGGGAAGAATTACTGGGTATGTGACGAATATGAGGGCGACATAGAATACATCGTTTTCTTTGTATTTATATTTTATTTTTTTAAATGTAGGCGAAGTTCCATGCATAATCGGAGAAATAGGTATTCCTTATGACATGCAAAATAAAAAGGCGTACAGGGATGGTGACTATTCTCAACAAATCAAAGCCATGGAAGCGAGTATACAAGCACTCGAGGCTAATCTTTTAAGTTTTACTTTGTGGAATTATTGCCCCGACAACAATCACAAATGGGGTGACCAATGGAACGGCGAGGATCTTAGCATTTATTCACAAGATACGAACACCGAAAAAGTCCATTCAATGATGTCGTCCGGTTCAACTCAAGCATTGGATGTAGGAGGTAGAGCATTGGAATCTTTACTTCGACCTTTTCCGGTCAAGACCAACGGGGAACCCTTATCTTTAAAGTTCAATCCTTACAAAAAATATTTCGAATACGTGTTCAAAAATCCCGAAAATCCATCTGCCGACTCGCCGACAGAAATATATTTACCAATACATCACTTTAGCGAGGCTGACGATTTCAACATATATCATAGTAGTGGGAAATGGAAATGGGATAAGGCATCACAATTGCTACTTTACTGGCATGATGTTGGTGATCCGGAGGATAATGAAGAAGAAAATCATTTGATCCATAAAATCATTGTAGAAAGCAACAGGAGGAATTACGATGAAAGCGTTTGGGATGATTGCTGTTAAATTATTGTTTTAGACGGTATAAAAAAAAAGACTTTTTTTCGTATTGCGGATATAAACCACAAAATTTCATCTTCTTACACTATATAACGGTATCTTTGGTAATAGAAAAAACAAAAGGTGTAACATAAATATTAGGACAATTTGGTGATTTACCTTATTCATAAATTTATTTCGTTTAAAATGGAAATTGAATCAAAAAATTAATTACTGCAATTAACTCGAAAACTAGATTGAAATGAGTCAACCATTCGTGAATGTCCAATGCTTAAATATAATGTTGTCCATCGAAATGTAACCTCAATGTAATTGACCCAAATTCTCGTATTCTCCATCTTCAACTTCCTTTGCTTCTGTAAGGTTTTGATCAACGAAAGCTGTCACTTGGTCGTGATAAGTGATATGAGATTGATCTGTGGGCTCCTCAGATTGCCCAACAAAATCATTCGTTTGTTCATCATTGTCACTTTGCTGTTCACCGTAATCGCTACTATGCTCTTCATATTCGCTCAGCGCCTCACCATACGTGTCATTTTGCTCTTGTGCGTCATCGTAATCGCTGGCTCTACCGATGTACGAGTTAGATTGTCCACCATAATCGCTGGTCCGACCATAATCGCTACTTGGATCTTCTTCATATTCGCTAAGTTGCTCAGCGTAATCTTGAACTGGATTGCCATATTCTTCATTTTGATCACCTTCGTCATCGCTCTGACCGCCATCATAATCTTCAATATTTTCATCGTAATCTTCGTCTATTCGATTATCGTCATAATCTTCATTTTGTTCGTCTTCATACTCTTCGTCATGATCTTCGTTAGCCTGGTCCTCGTAACCACTTGATGACTTGTTGATGTATTCTTTAGTCTCATTGAAACCACTTCTCTGTCGATTGAATAGGTCATCGTTATCCTTGTGCTTGCCATATCCTAAATCTTCATGCTTCTCTTTCGCGTTAGACACCTCCACCTCCTCCATTCCCTCTTCTTCCTCTAGTTCCTCAATTTCTGGTGAATTGGCGACCGACGATTCAACCTCAAGTGGTGTATTATTGTTGTTCGTATTCAAGTTATCTCCAGGAGTTGACACCGCGGAAGTAAGAGAGGCTTGACGAAGTAACGATGATGACTTTGGCAATGACGTTATGTGTGGTCTTAATAAAGTTGAATCGGTTTCCGTTTCTGAAGGTTGAGGAGTGGAGGCTTCGGTTGGAGGTTGAATGATTGACGCCGTTGGTGTCGGCGTGTCCTAATTATATTGCGTTTGCGATAACTCGGTGAATTGAAAATAGCAAGATTACAAACTGGGGCCACATCTATAAGGTTTTACCTCAAAATTATTATTTTGTCGAGTCATCCTCACGGTTCCGCTCTCGTCATCATCATCATCGTCGTTAAATGTTAGTTTCCTATCGGCTAAACAAAGCAATTTGGGATTATTGTTTTTTTTTTTTACAATAAATTTGTGACCACATCTACTCACGCGATTGCAAAAGCTTACATTTTGTCCATTTTAATATTTTAAAGTTTTTTCCTCCGTTGTTGGGATACTGCCATTTCTTATCCCTGTATAGTGTGTATATGTGTGCATGTGTAGTTGCATCTTTTAACGTAAGTTTTGATAAACTCAAAATAATGCCGAAAATCTGGTTTCATGAAAAAACAAACCAAGATTGAACTGGCTGTAGCAAAGCGCGCTTTAGTCGATCATGATCCGCCGCGTAGCGAAAACCGTGATGTCGCGAAGGCCTACTAGTTGCCATTTTTCTTATGTGTCGATTTATATATGTCTATGTTACACAAATAATCTTTAAATCGAGAGTCTGAGTTTAGGTCATCTATAACGGCCATACTATATATCACCGGTGTCAGCTGACCCGTGACGCGTGAGTGTACAGTATGTGCGCACGCGAACGATTTTTAATGCTGCTGAGATATAATAATTTAATCATGTAACTTGTTTCGCATTTCTTGCGAACAACTGTTATCGCTTCGCATGTGTTATACCTCTGTTGAGACTTTCGTAAGCATTTCCTCACAGTTAGTTTACGAAGAACCATTAGTCAACGGGTTGGACTGATGACCAGTTCAACTCGTCCGTTCCATTTGAATATAATATTTCTTCTTTTTGATCGCTTAACTCAGCAGGCATTTGACGCAAAAACACTTTAACCGAAAAAAAAAATAATAAATAATAAAATTTGCACGTCCCCCTCAATTTCATTAATAATATGAACGATTGATTTAAAATATATAATATGCTCCTATATTGCAAATATTTCTCGTTAAAGAGATTATAATATGGATCAGTTTGATTTTATATAGCACTGCACTGCATGGAAAGGCAAGTTCACAGAAATTTTGAGAAGCACTGCATGCATTGACCAGAAAATGTGCATCGTAAAGAAAAAAACATTTACCAGTTTCTGATTTAATAATTTCGGTTTTGGTGATTGCGCATTTTGCACCGGATCACCTATAAATACTTGCTGCCATTGAATTAATTAAAATTTCAAGATTATATAATGACTTCCAAATGGAAATGGAAATGATAACGGAATTTATAATTTATTTTGTCACTTACCAAAATGTTACCCAAAAATGCCACCACATCATTTTCATGTGGCTAATTGAATATTGAGAGGGCGGTTTTCCTTATGCTATTTAGTGAATGTAATAAAGTCAGTTATACTTGTTTTAAATATTTATTAATTCAAATAACATGTTTGAAATTCTACTTTTTTTTAGAAATTCATTTCCAACTGTCATCTTTGCTCGAAACTTTAAGTAGATCATGTATTACTAACGTCGTCTTCTACGGATTATGTGAATAAGGATTATTAATTACGATCCCAACTTACCTTCAGTATTCGGATCGCCCCAACCTTCAATGTCTTAACATTAGAGAAGAATTAACAATCTTTCAAATTTCAATTTTACATAATGCGATTTGCAACATACCTTTTTTATCTGATTTTATCTGATTTTTGGTTTCCGAAGCATCATCCGTTGTCGCCCAGGATTTATCCTGTTCGTTTGGATCCCATTCATTTTCATGTTTATATGAGTCTTGACTTTGATCATTGTTGTATCGTCCGCCAGTTCCACGTGGATTTCCTCCACCGAATCCACCCCTGCGTTCATCGCCACCTCTTCCACGACCTCCCCTACCTCGTGTGTAGTAATAGCTTTTCGAATTATAATCATTATCCCTACTCCCACGGTAGTTCCTTGAATTGTATCCACTTTCGTCACCCCGGTTATTTCTCGGGCCATATCCACCACCACGAGGACTTCTATTCGCAAATTCATGATTACTGCCCCTGGAGTTCCTTCGGTCGTAATCAACGTTATTACCGCGAGAGTTTCTTCTCCAGTGATCATCATATTCGCTATTTTCTTGACGGGAATTTCTCCGGTCATAATTACTGTCATCGCTGCGAGAGCTTTTTCGATCAACTTCGTGATCGTTGGAGTTACCATGACTAGAATTCCTTTGATGCGTACTCCAACTTCTTTCTTTTTCTTTATCCCACTCCCGTGTGTCCCGATTTTGTATTTTACGCCTTGCATTTTCCTCCCGTTCATTACTTGAAGAATGAGAAAAGAGTAAGGATCGTCAACTCAAAACAAGGTAAATTAACAACATAGATGTATGAACGATTTTTTACTCAATTTGATCTTGCAATTGCTTTTGCTGAATTTCATGTCTTCTACGATCTTCTTCTTCTTCTTCTCGCTTCTTTTTTTGAATCTCAAGATTCTCCAATTCTTTTTTTCGAATTTCTTCATCTTGTTTGCGAAATGCTTCCTCATCTTGCTCCACCATCTTGAATGATAGTAGTTGGTAAAACGCAAAATATCTTTGATTAATAATTCCATCACATAAATAAATGTATACATGCGTATAATAAAAATAAAACCTTTCTTTTTTCCACTATTTTTTCATTTTGGATGCGCATTCGTTCCATGCGTTCGGAGAGTTCTTCTTCTTTCACTCTCTATTTGAAAAATGAAATGAATTGTTTTCAGAACACGTCGCTCTTTAACGGAAATGGGGTTTTGGTGGCATCTTAAGGGACAAACCTGATAAACTTTGCCTCCGGACAATACACGTTCCTTATTCACATAAGGTGCATCTGATTTGGATCCGCGATTATTTTCGATTAAGCTGTTAGCTTTATTCGAACCGGATTCTTCTGTATACTCATCGTTAGTTTTTTCACGATGCTCTATCAAATATGTAATGGTAAAATTAATTATAAATTCAGAATCCACATCATGTAGCGTGTTAACTAATTACCATCGCCGCGTGAAAGAGAGGCCCGTTGGTTGTGACCGCGATCTCTGTATTCATGCTTGTAATTATCTCGGTTATTGCGAGGGGATTGAAAACCTCCTCCTCTGCCTCTTCCACGAGGACTTCTTGACTCGAAATAAGAGGAGTCCTCATCTCTTCTCGAAGATTGTCTCTCCCTCCAACTACCTTTATGCGGGGGTTGAGAGAATTTATCTTCCGACCGATCCGTTCTCCTTGAATCCCCACCTGACCTCCAGCCACTCTTGTCCTCTCCCTGCTTGCTCTTGAAAGAAGCTGATGTGTTAAAACACAAATTTTTAGTATGTCAATTGACAGTCGCGCAAATATAACAGTTCTAAGTGGCGTAACATAGAATTCAATATTTAAATTTCATGTACCCGGGTTATCCTTTCCATTATTTTTCTTAGAATGCGAAGTTTGCGCGCTGCGACCACCCGATTCAACCTGATTTTTCTTATTTTGTGATTCCCGGCCGCTGTTATTTTCGATTCGCAAGTCTGTTGAATCCCATTTAGAAGTGGGTTCTTCATTTTTTGGTGACTGTGCGTCCCAATTATGATTACTTTCTTTAGGAGTCTTATCCCAGCCTTCGTCGTTTGCATCACCTGCGTCCTTAGTCCCCCTTTCCGATTCAGGCCAACAATCTTTTGGTTCTAAAGGCGGATCACCCCAGCCGCCTTCCTTAAGTTTATTCGGCTCGTCGAATTCACTGGTACTCATATTCCAAGGACTACTAACTACTATTTGGCACAAAGCTCAAAACGGAAACAAAAAAAAAAAGCGTAATTTATATACAATTGATGGCCGATCAATTACCTAGACTGACCAATTAAATTTTGCTAGGGACGACAAAGATTATCTATTAACACCATACTACTACTATCTATCGCCAATTTCCCGTGCCGCAAAGAAATGTCAGCTTCAACGCGTTCAGAGGTCCTGTCGCTTTATCGTTCCTTTCTCCGCGTGATCGAACGTTGGCCGACCGATTATTTAAGACCAAACACAGATATGAGACACGTGCTTCATTTACGTGTCGTCGAAGGTTTTAGACAGAACTTGGTCATTAAGGACGCAGACGTTTATGACTCCTTGATTCTGGAAGCAAACATCGAACTAGACGCACTAAGAAAGCTAGCAGATAATGAATATAAAGAGAAGGTTGTTTCTTTGTCGTTTTCATTTTTAGTCTGCACAAGACGTTTTTAGTTGACTTTCGACCAACTCGGTCAAATCATTTCTTTCAGTATCCGCTTTCTGATCGGATATATCGACCTGCGGCAAATCCAAAATATTACTATGGTTTAGTTGCTGCCATAGATAAGGCCGCCAAACAAAAGCAAGAAGAAAAATCAAAACCCCCTTCATTTTGGAACAGATTATGGGGAGGAAATCGTTAGTAGGAAATGGATAGAATGATCAATGGTTTCAAGGTAATAGATGATTAATATTTCTTTCAGTGTCTAGGAGTAAATTAGGTATTAACACGGAAACGTGTTAATTCATTACGATGATAAGGTTATGCCCGAGCATATGTAACTTATTATTTGTATGGGTTAGAAAAAAAATTTTTTTTTGATCTATTCTATTATATATTTCAACGTTTGAACGAATCATGATTAATGCACTATGGATTGTACACCTGTCATTCATGCCTCTGTGGGTGTAATATTACTAGGGTCAAAACCTAACAATAGAATAATAAACATAAACGATATGTTCGAACCGTTTAAAATGAGATAGAATCGAATTCAATTGATTTGTACCTGGCATAGGGAATCCGGTGGCGAAAATTTCTACTTCATTTTTTAGAGTTGAAATCTCTTCAACGTCCTGGCATGCCATTACGAAGTCTTTCATCATTTTACTACCAGCCTTTTCCTTTTGATTATCGGTGACAATGTGAATTAATAATACATTATATATTTAAATTAATCACCATTCAATAGATTTATCTCGGGAAAATATAATCAATGACTAAGACACGAACCTGCACCCTAAGAGCGATTTGGACTGCACGATGTAAGAATTCGGAAACCTTGAGAAAATCTTCTTCCTTGAAACTTCGCGATGTTAACGCAGGGGTTCCAATACGAACACCACCCGGGGAAACCATATTGACATCGCCGTGAATGGAATTTTTATTAATCGTAATGCTAGAGGTAAACCGATCCACACTATATGAGCACAGTTCAAGAATCGACATAACACCAATAATAATGTACGTACTTGACCATATCACAGATTTTTTCGACTTTACTACCAGTTAACTTGAGAGGCTTCAAGTCCCAAAGAATCATATGATTTGCAGTCCCATCAGTGACTAATTTGTAACCACGTTCAATGAGAGCATTAGCTAAAGCTTTGGCATTGGCCCTGACTTGTTTTGCATACTGTCGGAATTCAGGGGTGGCCACTTGCTTTAAACACACGGCGATAGCAGCGATGGTGTTATTGTGAGGCCCTCCTTGACAAGACGGAAAAACTGCATTGTTCACTCGATTCTCCAGATCGTCATCCCTCTTTCTTCTGAAAAAGATTAATCCGGCACGCGGACCTCTGAGTGTCTTGTGAGTTGTGGTGGTAACCACATCACACAGTTCGAAAGGATTATTTGCTTCACTACTGGCGACGAGACCGCTAATGTGTGCAATATCAGCTAACAGATACGCCCCGTGTTGATCTGCAATCTTTCTCAGTCTAGCGTAATCCCAATCTTGTACGTACGCACTTCCTCCGCAAATGATTAATTTAGGGCGAAAAATGCTGGCATTTTTTTCGAGCTGATCATAATCAACAATTCCTGTCTCCTTGTTAACTTGATATGGCATGGATTCAAAGTATATCGAAGAAGTCGATATTTTTTTCTTTGAAGTTTGCCATCCATGTGTGAGGTGCCCGCCCGATGGTAAATCCAACCCCATCAAACGATCGTGAGGGTGAATTAAAGCCGTTAACGCGGAGAAATTAGCCGTACTTCCGGAATAGGATTGAACATTGACTCCCCATTCTTCGGGATTCAGATGAAACGCTTGTAAAGCCCTCTGACGACACAGATTTTCGACTTGATCGATATATTCATTGCCTCCGTAATAACGGGCGCCTGGGAGACCTTCGGAATATTTATTTGTTAGTGGCGACCCGTTCGCCTCCATCACCGCGAGAGAAGTAAAATTCTAATAATTGCACACAAAAAAAGATGTTTTAATAATAGATCACGAGCGATCCTGCATACCTCACGAAAACAGTGCTGCGTAATAGTAATACCTCCGAGGCGATGAGTTCTAAACCGGAAAACTGCCTGTACTTTTCCTTTTGAATTATATCATAGATTTCTTTATCCTCTTCTTGCAAAGGAGTGTTCAGGCAACTATTCTGTCATCTCGCGTAAACACGAAATACGAAAACTAACGTTAAAACAAATATAGAAATGTAACATCTGTAAACATTAATAAAGCAAGAATTTTATAAGGTACCCAAGGGTCAACTTCGTGGACAGAAGAAAACACCATTTTGTGTATTTTTTACGCTTTCTGATAAAAAGTGAGTCAAATAAAAAAAAAAAATTGACATTCGATCTGTAATCTGCGATCTATAGATAATATAACGGATAGATGTTTTCTTCACGTCGTTTTGGCCTGCACTAATTGTCAATGGAACCTGGCTGGCATTATGCTGCACGTGATAATTTCTGGTAGAAAAAATTTTTCCGCAAAAAAAAAAAAAAAATCTATAAATCTGATTTGTTAATAATCAAACGTTCCCTCTCTTGGAATCGGCGAAAACTTTCCCTTGTAACTTGATAGCTATGTCAAAGTTTCCAGCTATCCTAAATGGTATTAAATCTAGTCCTTGTTATTTTCGAATTGAAAACTTTTAAATAATACCTTGCCTTTATGACGGATATATTTTTGATTATGATTTGCGAAATAAATAGCCACAGACAAAGACGTTAAACTTCTCCTATCGGCTCAGTGTCATATCGGAGCCAAAAACCTGAATGTTCAAATGACTCCTTATGTCTGGAGACGCCGTGCGGACGGTAAGTTGGATTTAGGTGAAAGCACTCGACGACTGTGGTATTATTTGTTTGACGTCGAAAGAATATTTAATTGATGTGACAAACGTTAAAATCTTTTTTATTCTTTTTTTGTAATAAACATTTGGACATATGGTAAATTCATTGATTCGTCCTGTCAAATCAGGTGTTCAAATTATCAACATTGGCAAAACATGGGAAAAATTGATTTTCGCTGCCCGTATCATTACTGCAATTGAAAACCCTGCTGACGTTGTGATTATCTCGGCTCGTCCCTACGGTCAACGTGCTGTTCTGAAATATGCGTCTTTCACAGGCGCTCGACCCATCGCCGGTCGATTTACTCCTGGAACTTTTACGAATTACATCACCAGGTCATTCAAGGAACCCCGTTTAATCATAGTGACTGATCCAAGAACAGATCATCAGGCCATTCAGGAGGCTTCTTACGTTAATATTCCTGTCATTGCGTTAGCTGATACGGATTCACCTCTTAGTTTCGTCGATGTTGCAATTCCCACTAACAACAAGGCTAAGCATTCGATCGGTCTTATTTATTGGATGCTAGCTCGTGAAGTACTTCGTCTTCGCGGTAATATCAGACGCGATACCCCGTGGGATGTGATGGTGGATATGTTCTTCTACCGCGACCCCGAAGAGGTTGAAAAAGAGGCCGAAACAACTGGCACCGCACCTGAGAAGACTCAATCCTCATTTCAGTTTGATGGCAATAACAATTGGGATAACCAAGATAATCCAAGCGAATGGGATGCGTCAGGTACCGCAGCGCCCGGTGGTATTAATCCTAGTATTGCCGCTGTGGCTACTGCTCACGCCACAACATCTAATTGGGATGCACCCGGTGCAGAGGAATCGGGAAGTTGGGGTGGACACGAGGCTAGTACCAACGTTCCAGAAGCTTCTGCTTTTGGGGAAAGTCCATTTGAAACTACTACGAATTCGAATTGGGCTGATGAGACATCCGGGACAGGAGGATGGGGTACTACGAATGAAACTGACGGAGGTTGGAATGCGAATGAGACTGAGAATAATGGCGCATGGAAAACTGAGAAGCCTGAAACCGAGGAAGATAAAAAAGAGAATACTGGAACAGGTTGGGATTAAAATAATGAAATTAGATTAAAGTTTCCAACATAAGTTGCATATTTTACCAAGTGTATTTTTGAACATCTACTTTTGACAAGTTTTTTTTTTTTTTTTTTTTTTACGAAAAAAAAAATGTGACATAAAGTACACGAGTTACAAACCAAATCTTTTGGCATTCGAACGCTTAAAATACTATCAAACATATTTAAAATAAAAAAATCCATTTGCCTTGACTACGTAAAAAAAGTAACTTATACAAACTAGATATACTCTGTACTTTCATAAAAAAATTTTCCTATGATAATTTTTTTTTTGTTAAAAAAAAAACCAGTCAAATCATTTTTATTTAATCTAAACCTTTCATCAATTGTAAATAAAAACATATAGCACAGTATACACACCTTATATTTCAATAATTCAATTTGTATAATAAAATATTTTTAATGACAGCTCCTTTGTGATTGATTTTTAATTCGACAATTTATTATCATGGCCAAATATCATAATCCGGTGATTTGGCCGAGTTGGTCTAAGGCGCCGCACTCAAGTTGCGGTCTCGAAAGAGGCGTGAGTTCGAATCTCACAGTCACCAACATACTAATTTCTTTTACGTATTTATTTTTTTTATTTTTTTTTTTTATTTATTGATGGTCAGTGGTAACAATGGTAACCATGCGAGGCAATGCAATTACTTTCGTCTTACTATCAAGCGACCAATCGTATCCGGCAATTGGTCACCACTAAAAAAGTAACAATTTAATAATTCTTGTCACCATCTCTTCAAGCGAAACTCACCCCATACGTTCCTTCTACTATTACAAGAACCAAAAAATTTTTCTTTGATTTTTCGACCAGTCGAAGCATACATATTAACACGCTCTAAAGAAAATGGCAACCGCTGCCGAACCTCAAAAGGTTTAATCTTGTGTTCAAATACTTCAAGTTAGAAAAGTACATCATGTTCTTTTCGTTCCACAAACTAATACTTTAACCGTTAATTCAACAACATTCTTCACACTGTAGATAAATCTCAATGGTTATGTAGGGTTCGACTCCATTACCCGACAGATTGAGAAAAAGTTACTGAAACGTGGATTCCAGTTTAACGTCATTGTTGTTGGTACGCTTGACCAGTTAGATTTAAGACTTTATTCTTAAAAAATTCAAATAGTTTTTTCACAAATTCCAATGTTACAGGTCAAACCGGTCTCGGTAAATCAACTCTCATCAACACCATCTTCGCGGCC